GGGCTCTCAGGAGTGCAAGAGGGAGGCAGCCGAGCATCAGAGGAGGAGCTGTGGCCACAGAAGAGGGCACAGGAAGGTGCCACGCGGCTGGCTTTGACCGTGGATGAAGGGACCAGGAGCTCGGGAACATGGGTGGCCTCCAGGATCTGGAAAAGGCAAGACACTGATCCTCCCCCAGTGCCTCCTGAAAGGGGTGAGGCCCGCCGACCCCTTCCTACCCAGTGCGGCCTGGCTTGCGTTTCTGGGCTCCCCGAACTGGTGGTGAGCGGCGCGCTGGCGGCCTGTGGTCGTGGTGTCTGGGAGCACCTGCTCCCGTCCAGAGCGTCTGACGCCTTCTGCATGTCCCCGTCTGCCGCTCCCACAAGCAGCCGCAGAGAGCTGCAGTCGCAAACGTCTCTGTTGGAAGTTTAAAAAGATCAGAAAGAACAAAATGAGCTTTCACCAAGGAGGCTAACATCATAGTAGAAGGTGGCAGGAAGGAATCCGGTGTGTGACAAGCGGACACGGATGAGGGAACCACGCGCAGTCGAGCTGGTCGGTGGATGCAGCACGGCCGCCGGCAGGGCTGACCGGAAGTGGCGCGGGGCACGGGACCGCGGTCTCTCTCACAGGGGACGGACGTGCAGAAGCCCGGCTGAAGTCGTGGAGTGGATCCAGCCGCCTTCTGGAAGTTGCGACACCACAGGTTGAAACCGTCTCGGCGTAATCCGTGCTAGTGGCGTGAGAGAGAGCGCGTGCGTGGGAACGGCTGCGGGCATCGAAGGCGCTGTCCTCGTTCCTGCAGTTAGAAACGCGGTGACTTGGCTACACCCGCCGGGGGCCTCCCTCAAACCCCACATCCGGCAGGGAGATGCCGGAGGGTCCCCGTGTCGGCCAGGATGGAGGCCAGGTTGCCTTCGGTCACCAGGACTAGCCAAGGCGTTACCGGATGCCCAAACCATTGTAATAAGAGAAGAAAAATGAGGTATGACTTGTGGAAATAAACAAAGGAAATCTCACTGAAAGTCGTGTCTGGGGGCGCCTGGGTGGCTCAGTGGGTTAATCATCTGCCTTCGGCTCAGGTCTGGGTCCCAGGGTCCTGGGATCGAGTCCTGCGTGGTGCTCCCTGCTCAGAGGGGCGCCTGCTTCTCCCTCTCCCTCTGCTCTGCGCCCTCGTGCTCTCTCCGTCAAACAAAGTCTTAAAAAAAAAAAAAGTGGTGCCCCCCGCCCCCACGCTTGCGTTGCCACAGGAAGAGCCTGTCAGGTTCTCTGTCCCTGGCAGAAGGAAGGGGCTCGCGGGAACTCGACAAAGGAGCCTCCCGGCCTCTGCCGCTCTGCTGGCCTGGGCCCACCACGCGCCGCTTGTCCGGAGCTGTAATTCTCTGCTCTACCCCAGTAAATGTGTTTTGCTGGTAAAGTCACTGGCTTTTTTTTTTTTTAGGTCAACAAAAGGTAGGGAAAGAAAAACCCAAGTGGTTATTATCTGAAGAAACATGAAAGTTCTCTTAGAAAAGCAAAGGTGAACAGGGGACGAGTGTCCTTGTCAGGCAGGTGGCTGCTAACGGTCCAGCATGTGAACGGGCGTTTCTGGACCCGCTCCTCACCAGCTGCGTCTGGAAATGCGTTGTGTGAAGGGGTCACAGAGCAGTGAGACAGTGAAGGCCCCGGGAAGAAGCCCCGTACGAGACGTGCGGGCCGCCGGCGGTCACTTAGGACGCATTTGCAAGCAGCGCAGTGGCCAGGGCTCCTCTGGGGAGACCCCGTCACCCAGGCGGGTCCACAGATGGAATGCCGCCCCGCACAAGTCCCCAGACACTTAGCACGCGGTTTGATCACTGGACTCTGGGTTTGGATCTGGGGACAAAGGACAAGACAGCCCTGAATTTGGTGCCCGCTGTTGTCCTGTCTTTGAGGCTTAGAGAGGGGCTTTGGGGCCCCTGGTGTGTCTTGTCCCTCTCAGTGCCTTCACTGGGGACCCAAGGGCTCGGCACCAGCTCTTGGAGGAGGCGCTGGGGGAAGGAGTTCCCCTTGGAAGAGCCCTGAGACCACGTGTACAGCAGGACGGCTGGGTACCAGCCACTGGAGCCATCCCAGAGCTCAGGGTGGGTGAAGAGTGCCCCGGGACTCCTTCTGTCCTGAAGGGCCAGGACCCCAAGATGGGATGGAAGAGGGGGCTGTGGCAGATGCCCAGAGCAAATCTGGAGCCCGCAGTGTCTCGGGACACAGGACAGGGCAACAAGGTGGCATGGTGAGCAGTCCTCCCGGCAACCCCAGAGGGACCTTGGAGGCTCGGTGCCGGCGGCGGTGAGGAGCCCTACCTGGGAGCCAGGCACACCGCAAACCGGGGAACCCTATCTGAGGAGCCCCTCCAAGAAGGGGTCCGCCGCTGGGGCCCAGAGACCCCGGGGGCCTGCCTGTGCAGTGGGGGAGGCTGTGCACACTGCCCCCTTTAGAAAGGGCCCCTGTGGAGTGCTGCGGGCGTGGGGGGCTACTGGCCTGAAGACCCCAGGCTCTGCGCCAGGCCCGGGTGGGCAGGCCAGACCCGATGGGGTCATTCGTGGCCGCTCAGCACTCTGCGGCCAGGGCAACGGGGGAGGCGCCACAGAGGCAGTGGGCGCGAGCTGGCAGACCCGGGGCAGGGTGCACGACTCAGCTCCATGGTGGACAGAGTCTTGGGCCCGAGACCCCACTCTGGGGCATCCGCAGGCTCCTGCTGACCTCACTAGGGGTGAAGGTGGTTCCTGCCAGCCCGCTGCCCCGGGGGCCTGGAATGGCGGAGGCACTCCCCACAGCCCCAGCCCCAGGCGGGCGGCTGAGGTCCTGGACTTGGAGCGGCCCAGATGCTGCCCTGGACCACAGACTTCCATGTGCATCCGCCCTGCCCTGTGGTCGGGTCCCACCTGCGGCGCACCCACCTTCTCCGCAGACCCGCAGCCCAGCCCACCTGTTGTAAGACCCCTGCCTCTGCAGCTGTGGAACGCGGGGTCCAGCCTGAGCCCCGCGAGGAGACCACGGGCGTGTGCCCTGGGGTGAAGATGAGACCACTTGCCTCCATGGTCCTGGGGGTCCTGGATGGGGTCGCAGGCTGCTCCTGCCGACACACAGCTCGTGGCTTTTGCTAACTTGGGGGCTCCTGCCGTGCACGTAGGTACTGTAACCTGCCTGCTCCTTAGTGTTCTCACGGCCCCGTCCTTGGTTTTGGGACCCTGCCTCCTGCCTGCGGTGGGTTTCACAGCACCTTGCCCAGCGCCGCGTCCCTTCATCTCCCGGCTCATCGCTTGGACCTTCGGAGATGGTTTGGGGTTGTCCTGGCGTTTGCCGCCTCTGCCGCCACTTGTGGGCACAGCTTGCCCTTTTGCAGGGGGCGTTCCCCCCCGCACCCCCACAATGGCTCCTTCCCCTCGCCCTCCCGTCGGCCGGGCCCGCCTAGCCCCTCGTGGGGACTCCTGTCCGAGCAGAGTCCAGTCAGATGAGGAACCAGAAGTTCCTCCTGTGTCTGAAGACTCCTGCCAGGAAACACAGAGAAGCTGCTCACCTGTCCCGGGGATGGCCCCTCCTGGCGTTCGTGCCATCGGCCCCATTGTCCTCACGCATCAGTGTGGGCTGCCGTCCCCACCGGCCCGTCCCGTGAGGCCCCCACCCGCTCAGCAGCCCCTCCCTCACCAGCCCTGGCCCCAGTATGGCCGCACTGAGTCCTTGCGAGCTCACTGAGGGCAGGAGGCCCTGGGGGGTGAGCTGGACTCGTGTGGCCCAGGGCTGGGGGAGAGGGCCCCTCTGCTGTCTGCCACCATCTGGATGCCCTGTCCACACCTGCTAGGGGGCTCTGGCAGAGCCTGGGGTCCCCGTACCCATCCCAGGGAGCCCCCGCCCCAGCCATGCTTCCCAGCTGCCAGCACCCAGATGCCCAGTGCATGAAGGCCCAGGCCGGCAACATTTCCTCGGGATGGGGGCTTCCCTGTGGGGTCTGGGTGGGGCAGGGGCCACAGCATGCGTGTCTCACCCTTGGAATTGGGGGGCTGGGGGGTGGGGCTAGGGGGTGGGACTGGGCCAGGCCTAGACCACGAGGCCACGGCGGGAAAGCCTTATAACCGACCCTCATGTTTGCAGAAAGCATCCATTTAATAGAAGGTTCCAGCACTGACCGCACAACGCCTGTCACACACAGTGACAAGGGAAACCTGGCGGCATGACACCCACGACCTCCACGTCCTTCCCTCGCAGAGAGAACCTAGGCCAGCAGCCCAGGGTGAGTTGTGCTTTGGGTTGGTGCTAACAGGTGTCCAGCGGCCCGTGGAAACGCACCAGCCCTGCCCGACGCCCCCGGACGCAGGGCCACGGCCGTTCACGTTAACACGGATGGGAAGGACGTCTTCTTGTTCTTGGCCGCAAAGTCCTGGGTCGCAGGAACCTTCGTATGGCAGAGGGACCCCTCGGGGGTCTCGAGGCAGCCCGCTCCCCTCCACGTGCTCTGAGTAGGCCCAGCCTCAGGGTTGGGGGCTCCAGGCCAAGCTGCTGACTTCCTGGGGCTCACGGCTCGCCTCTCCTGCTGGCCGCACCGTGCTGGAGCGCTGGCAGGCAGGGGAGCCCCTCGGCCCGACCCTGGGCCGGACCCTCACCGTCGCGTGGTCAGACCCGGCCCCGTGAGCGGGCCATCAGTATGTGGCCACGGGAACACAGCTTCCGCGTGAGCTGTGTGAGTGTGCACAGTTGTGGGGGGCTTGGCTCCCTCCCGTCCGCATGCACCCCTGCCTGCCTCCCCGTCCGCCGCAGCCGGACCCCGTCACGAGTTGCGGTATGTTGCAGGGGACGCGGACTATACAGGTTTGTAAAAACAGGTTAAAAACGGCCCCGCCGCCAGCTTCTCCTGGGGCCCGGGGGCATGTGCCCCTCCTCCCCGGGGAGGGCTCCTGTCCGGGGCGGGTCAGACCGACGCCAGGGCGCTGTGGAGGCGCGGGGGGCCCCGGCGCTCCATGCAGCGTGAGGCATGCCGTCGTGGGGTTGGGGCTCCTCGCGGGGCCGGCTCAGAGCTGCGTCTCGTCGCGGGTCTCGGGGTTGCAGGAAGCCAGCCTGTGGCTGCCGCTGCTCTTCCGGCTCTGCGGGCCGCTGGCCACGTGCGCCAGGGGGTCGGAGCGGATGAGGTACCTGTGAGGGTGGGGAGAGCCCTGGACACTGTCCTCTGCCCGGGCTGGGGCGGGGCGCCATGCCGTCCGCTTGTGGGGGGGGGACGCGGGACTCACACGATATCGTTGGGCTCCAGCCTCGTGTCGGGCGGGGGGTTGATAAGGACGTAGGAGAGCGTGTTCTGGTGGTCATTCATCTCGTCTGCAAAGGACACGGGCCCATGGCGGTCACCGGTCCGCTGTGCCCTCCTCCACTCTGCCACGCCCCACGAGCGGGGGGCTCTGGCCTGGCCCCAGGATCTTCCTCGCCTTCCCGGGCGTCTTGCCTGCACCCCATGGGGCTGGCCCTGCCGGATGGGTACCTGCCGTGGGCCCGGCATGGGCAGGGGTCTGCCACAAGGGCATGGGCACGGGCTGACACCCACAGCCCCGGGCAGCCAGCAGCTCCGACATGGCAGCCACGAGCACGCCTGCCGCTCGCACGAACCTGTGGGGGCCCACATGTGCCCACGCACGCGCACGCACACCTGACCCAGCCCTCCCGCCGGCCCCTCCCTACCAGGCTGACCACCCTCATCTCTCCTTCCCTTCTCTGCTTTGGACATACGTCCTGTTTCCCAAAGCCTGCTCCACGGCATCGGCCCAAGGCCCCTCCCCCAGCCCCTTTCCAGGGGGGGCCCTTCCGAGCCCATAGGGACGGCCTGGTCTCTGGTGCACGCGTGGCTGTGGGGACGCAGCCCGTGGGGGGGGAACGGGTTCTGGAGAAGCAGCAGTCCCACCACAGATGTCCCTCTGGCCACGCACAGGGCTGCCAGAGGCCCTGTGCTCACTGGCAGAGAAACGAATGGCTCGTGACCTCAGTTTACCCATCGGCAATGTCAGAAGGCATCTCCTGACCCAGGGCGGCCATCAAGGGGATGGCACTCCAGAGGGGTCTAGCTCTGGTGCCTATACCCCCAGCTCTTGTCATTTCCTTCTCCTTGCACCATCCCCTGTCGGCAGGACTGTACCGGCCAGGCCCCCGAGGAAGGGATTCTCTGCAAAGCTGGAGAAGCGGCCCGTGGGCCGGCTGGGCTGGGGGTCGAGCTGTGCCAGTCGACTCCACACTGCAGCCACGGGCCGGGCACAGTGGCTTCCCTGGAGGCAGGCGGGGACACGGGCTGGGCCCTGGGGGGCCAGAGAACATGCTCAGACTTTTGGGCCATCCCTTGGCGCCAGCCTCTGCATCCACTCCAGAAACAGCTGCCTGGTGACCACAGCTCTCTGCTCTTTCCGCGGCTCGTGTTGGGGCCCTTTGGTGGAAGCTGCCGGCCGTCGAGCAGGGGGGCTCAATCAGTGGCCATGTGGGACAGCACACCTCCCAGCCCCAGGCCCCCCGAGTGTCTCCGGGGTGGGCCTTGTGGCGTGTGTAGGGGTGCCGCGGAGGGAGAGGGAGGTGGGTCTTATTGACCCCCAATCACAGGCACCAGTGGAGCGGCCACGCTGAGACGGACGCCAGGGCAGCACACAGAAAGTGGGGGGTGATGCTGGGGTCAGAACCACCAGCTGGTCCCCCCAGGGCACACGGGCTGCCCCTCCGTGGCTGGGCAGCCATCCTCACGCGCTGGCACCTGCCTCATGGGGCCCTCCCCATCCAGCCTGGGCCCCTGCGTCTCCCCGGGACGACCAGGGTGTTCCTGATCACCAACAGCTTAGGACCGGACCGAGCCAGGCCCACCTTTGTGCACCTGGGGGTGCTGGGCCGTGAGGTGGGCGGGTAGGCTGTGGGGGCCCAGCCGAAGCGCCAGGGGTGGGGGCTGCTTGGTCACGAGCCACTGACCCCAGTTTTCCCAGGACAGGTGAGCTGCACTGTGACCACCATGTTCAGGTGGGGTTAGGGGGCTGATGATGGCCCTCCTGGCAAATGGCCAAAGGAGCTGTCACCTTACCCTGCGCCCCACCCCCGCAGTCCTACTGCCCCAGGCCTTCCCGCACCCCTGCAGACCAGGTGCTTCCATGCCACTCGTCCTCCCTGCCCCATACCGGGGTCTGCGCTCTCTGCCCCCCAGCCCCGCACCTAACCGAGTCTCAGCCACCTGCCTCACGGGTGGCAGCGAGCAGGGGTGAGGGCATGCACACGCACCCTCGAGAGGGCTGCCTGGGGAGGATGCCCTCCCCTGGGGGCCTGGCTAAGGTGCTTCCCTCTCCTCTGCTCCCGGCCTCAGGCACTTCCCAACACCCACATCAGGAGGCGCTCAGCCTTGGTGGGAAGCAGGGGTGGCCGGGCGCAGGGAGGGGGCTGGGTGCAGGGAGGGGGCCGGGTGCAGGGAGGGGGCCATGCTGCCTCCCTGTTCATGGAAGCTGCCGGACTTGGATCCGTGCTGGCCCCGTGGGTCTTCCATGAACATCATCCCCGCTTGCAAGGAAAAGCACGAGAACCCAGGAGAGGCCGAGGCCTTCCCAGCACGGGCCCCGACGGGCCAGCCCCCCACTGAGGTTTCCATTCCGGGGCCTGGGTCTGCCCCAGACGGCTCCTGGCTCAGCTCTGGGCGGAGGGGCTGCCCCAAGGGGCCTGGGCACGTGCACTCTGAGCTCTCTCTAGGGCTGCAAAGAGCTGCCCGGGAAGGAAGGGGCCTGGCAGCAAGGCCTGGCCTGACGCTGCTCTGCCTTCTGTCGGGGGTCTCAGGGCAGATCTGGGAGGCTGCTGGGCGTCTTCTTGGAAGAAACCTGACCCCAGATGAGAGAAGGGAGTACAGACAGGCTCTGTCTTGGCCGGAAACGGAGACCCCCTCTTGGAGCTCTTGCCAGTTCACCTGACACAGGCGGCCCACAAAAGCCCAGGGCAGAGCAGACCCCAATTTCCCTGTTGCCGGCCCAGGCCTCGCCGCGCTCCCCCGTGTGTGTGCGTGTGTGCACACGGGGGACCCAGGCCTGGAACCATCCGCCTGGATGGCTTCCCTGGAGGTGGGTGGGCTGAGAACACAGGGGAGCAAGACTGTGGCACAACCCGAGGGTGGCGCAGTGACCACCAGGGCCCTGCACAGGGGCGGCCTGGGAGCACGGGGGCCCTGCCTGCAGAGCCCCTCTCCTGCCTACTCTCCTGTCCGCCTGCCTGGCTGGGGCGGCCCGTCGGCACGGCTGGCATGCCCCCTCGTGTGGCAGCCGGACTCGGCCGGAGCAGAATTACCTTGCAAATATCCCAGGTTTACCCGATTCATGACATCACTGGCCGTTAAATTTGCTACATCCTCTACGGAGCACACAGCGAGGGGGCAGACAGAAACAGAGAGAGAGAGAGGTCAGCAAGCAGCGCGGTGGCCGACGCAGCGGGGGACAGCCAGCCGCACGTGGGAGGCCGTGCACTCGGGGACCGGCCAGCGCCAGCCGCCGGGGAAGCAGGTCCGCCACCACGATGTGGCTTCCTTCTCTGCCAAGCTCTGGGGAGGGCAGGGGGGTGCGGAGGTTAAGGGAATGTGGGACAGGTGCCAGTCCCGGGGGCGGTGGGCGGAGTCTCTGCTGACCCTGGCCGTGGGGCCCGGTGCACACCGTCTTGAGGACAGGGACGTGGAGGGGAACAGAGGTGGAGCGTGCAGCTTCCGCATGGTGGGGGCAGGGCTGGCCTCAGACTCTAGCCCTCTGGTCCCACCTGGAGGGGGCACTAGGGCCCCCGAGCCAGGCACACGCAGGACATAGGCTGCTGAGAGCCCGTGCCCGCAGGGGACAGCCAAGCCTGAGCCCCAGGCAGAGGCCCCGAGACGGAACCCCACGCCCGCCAGAGGCTCGACCCAGTGCAGGGTGTGGATGCCGACGGGCAGCAGCGGGGACAGAGGCAGCACGTCCGGAGCGGGCGCGGGAAAGAGCGTCTCTCCTCTGGGTCTGCTCTTGGCCAAGGTCATGAACTTTCCTCCAAAATAAGCTCCACAGGAAAAGGGGCTGCCAGGGTCTGGGGAGCAGCCACAAGCAGCGGAAGCAGGGCCCAGGTCTCAGGAGCAGCTGTGGGGCCCCACGTCCATGGTGGCCACGGCTCCAGCTGCCCCCTGCCGGGCCCCGGACGCTCTGGCTGCTGGGAAGGCCGGGGAAGGGGTGGCCAGGGGCTGCGGGGTCTCCCTGCCACATTCCCGTTCTCCACGGGAACACAGTGCACCCTGCGTTTCTGACCCCAGAGGCCCCTCACTGAACCCACACGAGGACTGTGGCCTTGGCTTTGGGGGAACCCTGCCTGGCCTGGCCCACCCCCCCGGCCATGGCTCTCATGAGTTCCACACGCTGGGCTCAGTCAGCTTGATCTAGTCCTGTTTTACAGATGCGGAGACTGAGGCCCCAGAGTGGTGAGGGGGAGCCCTCCCTGCGGGGCTCAGGGCCAGTTCCGGGGGGATCCTGTGTCCTGGCACCAGAGGGGCTCCAAGGGGCCGCGTGGGTGTGGCGGGCAGCGCGGAGGCCCTGGGCAGAGGCGACCCCGGGGCACCTGGGTCAAGCGCCGTGTCTGTCCCAGCCCCGTGGCGGGTGGTGGCGCCCGGGCTCTTACCGTAGCCGGTGGTGGGCAGCCCCAGGTGCTTCATGCGGTTCTTGACCAGCTCGGAGAGCTCCTGGCGCTCGGAGCGGCCGTATAGGCTGAGCCTCTGCTGGCCGGCCCACTCGGCGGCCGCCGCCTTCCCCGCCGGCTTGGAGCCCCTGCGGCTCAGCTTCCGGGCCCACGGCAGGCTCTTGCGCCGCAGCAGTGGGTGCTCGGCTGGGTCCCCGCCGACCGGGCGCCGGCCGTGGGTGCTGCCGCCGCCGCCCGCCTGCACGCCCCAAGGCCCCCTGGCTTCCTGCGTGTCCTGGCAATCCTCCACGCTCACCGAGATCTGCGACTGGCCGGGGCGGGAGCATGAGGGGGGGGGGAGCCCAGCCTTCTGCTGGGGGACCCCAGGCCCCAGGGGCACGAGTGCCTTCTTCCTGCAGCCCAAGCCGCCAGCCTCCAGGTCTGTCCACGTTTGCCTGGGGAACGAGGGTGGCTCCTGCCACCTCTTGGGGTCCTCCCACCTGGACCTGGCCAGTCCTGATTTTGCCACAGAGGGCCACCCCTCTGTGAGCCTCAATCTCCCTGTCTCGGAGAGTGGAGAGCAGGAGAGCAGGGACGGGGAGCGTAGTCGATGGGAGAGTGACAGCAGATCAGCGGGTGCATGGGAACCCGGGGGGCGTGGGGAGACTCCTGCCTGGGCAGCAGCCCTGAGAGGCTGGGAGCATGGAGGTCGGGTCAGAACAGCAAGGAGGGGACCACTCGCTACGACGGGGGCCACAGCGGGACACGCACAGAGCACATGGGGCCGGAGGAGCCTGGTTCCTCAGGGGCCCTCTTGGAGCTGTGCCAAGCTCAACCCATCCTGGGGCCGTACCCCCGACCCTGCTGTCGCCCTGTGTCCCCCAGGCTTGGGGTCGGGGGCACACCTTCATGGGAGGCTCACGGGGCCACTCACCTGGGCTCTGAGGTCGTGGGGCTGCAAAGGAAACCAGAGACAGCCTGGGTGCCTGGGGGCGCCTCTGCCCCCAGCCCCAGACACTGCCTGAGCCCTCATGGGCTCGGGACCCGTGTGGCAGGCTGCCCACTGTGGCTCCCTCATTCTCAAGCTCCCCGGCCCCATGTGGGAGTCCCAGCCGCCCAACCCCACGTGGGGGCACATGAGCCTGACCCCAGGAGGGCCGCAAGCCAAGGCCTGGATCCCGGGACTGAAACACGACAGCGATACGAAATTCACAGGAAGCCTGTGGGCCGCCGGTGCACGAGCCCACCCTCGGGAGCCCCTCGCCCGAACCTCGGAGGTCGAGAAGACGTGGCACTCGGTGCGGTAGATACCGATGGGGATCTCGGCGCTGGAGGAGCACAGCTTCTGGAAGAGCCGGCCGTACGTGCGGATCCACAGGTCCTCCTCCGTGACCCGCATCTAGAGCGAGCGCGGCCCTGAGAGGGGGCCGGCTGCGCACACCCCCGCAACGGCCAACCCACCCGGCCGGCCCTGTCACTCACGGCGCAGAGGTAGCCGGAGCCCGGCGTGGTGTCGAGGCCCAGCAGCAGCCTGGTGATGGAGATCATGTAGTCCTTCACGAAGGACTGGCCAGAGAGGGAGCTGTGGTGAGGCGGGGGCACCCCGGGGACAGGCTGGGTCCCTTCCCGTGCCCGCTGGGCGCCCATAGTCCCCTGCTGGGAAGCCTGACTCGGCCTCGGGGGTCAGAGACCCAGAGGCCGCCGGAAGCAGAGCCCAGGGTGGTGTCTTTCTGGGAGGAAGAGGACGGAGACACCAGGGGGGCCCGGGAAGGGATGCTCCAAACGCGGCTTGGTCGGCTGGAGGTGGAGAGGAGGCTTGGGCTGCGGCGGCCCCCACCCCCGCCCCCGCCCCCGCTGACCTGGTAGAGCAGGGTGTCCAGCATGCTGATGCTGAAGACGCGGCCCGCGGCAAACGGCAGGCGGAACATGAAGGCCAGGTTGGAGCCGTTCTCCCGCTCCCTCTGCGGGAAAGGGGGGCTCAGGCGGGCGCTCAGGCTGCGGCGGCGTGGGGGCTGCAGGAGTGTGCGCACCGGCAGACGGCTGAGCTTGGTCCCAGCACCCAGCTAGTGCCCCCCGACCCCAGACGCACTCGGGGCCAGAGCGCAGGAGGGGACTCGCCCAGTCCCACGGGACCCCCCATGCTTGCTCTCATGCATGGCTCTCGCCATCCCAAAATTCGAAATAATCTCCGTCACTTTATCTTCAAGCCCGGGTAAGTGAAGTCAGGTGGGACGGTGGACACGAAACCACGGAAGCGCGTGCACTGTTCTGCTCCCCGTTCCCCCGCGGCGCCCACCATGCTCCGTGAGCGCCGCGTTCCAGGGACCCGCCGTAGAGGTTTCCGTGGCTGCGGGACGCATTGCCACAGCCTCGCAGCGGGAACACAGAGCCACCCTCGCCCAGCTCCAGACGTCGGGAGCCCAGTGTGGATTTCACAGGGTGGAATGAAGGCGCCAGCGGGGCGGTGCTCCTTCCCGCAGATCTGGGGACAGTCTTTTCCTCCTGCTTTGTTTCTAGAAGCTGACTGCGTTGCCCGGCTCGTGGCTCACTCCTGCCCCACAGCCAGCAGTGCACCTGCTGACCATGGGTCCCCTGCCTCCGGCCTGGCAGGTCCCCGGGGAGGACAGTGGGCCCCCAGGGGACACTCTCCTGTCTACAGGGTCCCTTGACTGCGCACCACACTGCTTCTAGGCCCTAGCGAGTCGGACGTGGACGTCTTCGGGGCCGTTTCCCCCCAGCACCCAAGATTGGTCTGCAACTGATGGCCGAGAGGCCTCCTTTCTCATGGGACCAGACCTGCTTCAAAGGTGGGAGGCAGGCAGGGGACACAGAAGACCCAGGGGCCGCCTAGAGGCCTTTCCTGCCCAAGGGCAGCGGGGTGTGGCACCGGGGCGTGAAGTCGTGGGGTGGGTTCTGGTGGCGGCATTTGCCGGGTCAAGTGCACCCTGTTTGGGCGCGGGTCTGCCAGCCCAAGTCCCCCGAGAGCGTCTGCGTCCCACGGGTGTGCGGCGGAGCCCGGCTGCCTTCCTGTCCAAGTGGCACCGGGGAACCGAGGAGGAACTGGGTCTGCGGGGCCTTCGCAGGGGCAGCTGCGGCGACGTCCCCGGCGCTTGAACACAGGGGCCCATGACCTCAGGCTGCAGGAGACCCTGCAGATTCCGGCGCTGGCGCCTCAGGGACCCCCTCCTACAGGCGGAGCGGGGGCGGGAGGCGGGACCGGGTCGGCAGCCCCTTGGCAGACAAGCGGCCATAATGGGGTGGGGGATCCCCACCGCTTCGTCCCACCCTCCCTGGCTGTCCTCCTGCCAGGTCCTCTCTTTACACGGCTCTGTGGCCGGCAGACACCAGGGCAACGTGGGTCGCCGTTTCAAAAAAAACGTCTCCTTCATCATCTCGGTGTTGCTTGAGGTGGAAGACGCGCACACTTTTACAAAAATAAACTGCCCTTAATTCTTCCAAAGACGAGCCCGGCCGCTCCTGGGGGAGACGTCGCCGCCTGGCCATCTGCTGAGCCATTAGAGCTGGGGCGTGCCTGGGTGCAGAGACCGTGGGGGACCCCAGGCCAAGTCTAGCCGGCGTGTCAGAAGACAAGGCCTCCGTGGCCTCCAGGCCCGGGGCTCACGGTGGGTGGACATCGGCTCCAACCATCTGAGGGAAGGTGACGACCCGCAGCTCTGGCGGCCCCCCACCGTCTCCGCGGCCCAGGATCCCCAGCCCACATCAGCCTGGAGGAGCCTGGGCTGTTTCTCAAGGTATCATCCTGGGGTCACGTGTGCATATGTCCTCCCTTCTGTCCGGGCCTAGACCACGCAGCCCCATGATGGGGTTCGTTGTCCTGAGCTGGGCAGGGGGTGTACCAGCCACGGGAAGTGAGGCTGCACGGGGGCCGGCAGGGGACGTCAGCGCAGAAGGAAGGGGAGCGGGAGTGCAGGCTACCTTGAAGGCCACCTCCTTGAACAGTCTGTGTGGAAGGCCTCTGAGGGACCGCGTGTGCTCTGGGGAGTGGGCAGCGAGGGACCAGCAGCTGGAGCCCGACCCCGTGCCGGTCACCCCCATCCCTGCTCGGGTCAGGCCAGAATTCCTAGATCACAAGACTCTGGCTCAATCCTGAGCAGCATCTGGACGGAGGCCGGTGGGCTCCCGCCGTTCCAGGCGCGGATGCTCTGTCCCCAGGCTGCCTCGAGAGTCTCAGAGTGGCCGGGAGGACCGGCCCCAGACGCACGGCGGAGCACACTCCAGAGAGGGCCTGGCCGGGACGGGCGCCGAGCAGGAGCCCCTGTGTATCCTCCGAGGGGCTGGAGGCCCCCTGCCCGGTATCCCTCCGGCACACGCGGCGCCGGGTCCTCACAGGCCTCGTGACCTGCCCCTGGGCTCCTTGCACCGTCTGCCCACGTCAGGGTGAAGCTCTAGCGCTTGTCCCTTCTATCTGGGGTTGACGGCCTGGCCTCGCTTGGGGGCACAGCCGCCGAGGCTCCCTGCTCCTGCCCTCACCCTTGCTGCGGAGTGGCTCCCCCAGCGGCCTTAGCAGGGACGATATCACCAGGGCCTGTGTCCCCCGTGGCCCATCCCTGTGCCCCAGAGCACCACACCAACGCCAGCCAGCGGATGTCCCTCCTGGAGCCCCGTGAAGCCCACAGGGGATTCCCACCCCGCCTCCCTGCCACTGTGTGGCCCTGGGCAACTTCCTCCCCTCTCTGACCCCCACTCCTTTGTGTGCACCTGCCCACTGGTGGAGACCCGTCACGTTTCCGGTTTGGGCCCAGTACGTGGGGCGTGGGAAATTAGTCGGTGTCCCCACGCCGTGCTGGTATTTATGGACACGGCGGGCAGCCTCAGCCCCAGGCACGGCCAGGCCTGGACCTGGCCGCCAGGGGGACCAGGGTCCCTAAAGGCTCTGGGCGACATAGGAGCCTCACAAGGGAGCTGAGTCCCCGTCTCGGGCCCCGTTTGGCCAGAGGAGAGCAGGGGCCTCGGCCTTCCGTGGCTCCCGAGCCCCAAGAAGCCCCCGGCCCACTCCTTCCGGGCTCAGGGGCCTGACAGCTCAGCACGTGGGGCGCGGGAGGTCCGGTGCGGCTGCTCACCTTTTCCAGCTTGGAAAGAGCCAGAGAGTAGCTGTCCTTAGCACGGAACTGCATGAAGCGCATGTTGGAAGGGTGGGTGAGCTCCGTGGTGATGCTCAAGCTGGGGAACAGCCTGCGGGGCAGCGGGGTCAGGGCGGGGTCTGTGATGGCAGACGGGGCAGCGGGGGCTCGGGACGGGTCCTCTGGTCGCGGATGGGGCAGCGGGGGCTGGGGCGGGATCCCCCGGTCACGGATGGGGCAGCGGGGGCTCGGGGTGGGGTCCCGTGGTCACAGCGGCAGCAGTGGGCCGGACTCCTGGATAGCTGGGGCACTGGTTCTGGACCCAGCCTGGCCCTGTTGCGGCCGCCCCGGGAGCGAGCCCCGGCCTCTCACCGGAACATGGTCTGCACGTTGACGATGGTCTTGGCGTCCGCCATGTAGTCCTCCTCAGCGCTCATGGTGCTCTCCTTGTCCACCACCACCAGGTTGTCCGCGTAGATGATACCGCACTGCAGTAGGCTGTCCAGGCTGGGGTTGGGGGGGGACAGGCCACGTGGCTGGGGGCCCCCAGGGCCAGGTCGGGCGACCCGGGAGCTCCCTCTGGGTGCAACTTAACCCCCTCCCCTGCACCTCCTGGGCTCCCCACACCTGGGGAGGAGTCTCTGGGGGAGGGGCGGGGCAGGGAGGGGCTAGGTAGGGAGCCAGCGAGGCGGACGTCCCTTACTTGTCCACGGAGCCCTCCATGTAGTAGACCATGGGGAAGCAGCAGATGGCCTCCAGGAAGTGGTGGTCAGGCCTGTGGGGACAGCAGGTCCCGTGGGTGCCCGCCCTGCTCTGCTGCTCGCCCCCTGTGCCCAGCTTGGGCCCTGCCCTGAGTGAGCAGGGCTGGATGGAGCAGGGGTCCCCCAAGACCACAGCACATCAGACCTGGGGGCCTTTACAGAACCATGCGGCTGTTCTTTGTTTCGCCTGAGGGAGAACCACGGCCCCGGTGGGGGAGGGGGACTGGCTCAGGTCAGACCCCAGGCTTGGGGGGTCGAGGTGCTGGGGCTGGGCAAGGGCCCCCCGGAGATTCATAGTGAGGGGACAGGAGAAACCGTGCAGGAAGAAGAAGGGTGCTCCTGAGCGCCGGGGGGCCTGGGGACACAGGGGGCCTCTGAAAGCGGACGAGGGGTGCGTGGCGGTGCGCGGCGGGTCTCACTTGTTGTCCAGCAGCAGCACGATGGGGTTGAGCTCCCGGCGGGACCTGTAGTAGGCCCGCAGCGGCACGATGAAGTTGTACAGCCCGTTGCCCGCCGTCTCGGCCGACACGATGATCAGCTTGTTCTTGAAGCCGTAGGCCTTGGCGTCCTCGTAGCTATTGTGTTTGCAGCCCTGCGGAGAGCCCGGCCAACCTCAGCCTTGGGGCCGAGACTGCCGCTTACTGTACCAGCAAAACCCGGGTTCACCGGGAAGCAGCGAGATTCCATCCGGAACAAGCCACGGGCCAGTTCTGAGAAGAGCAGGCCTGCTGGGCTTTGGAGAAGGGGTGAGTGGGGAGGGGCTCTTCTGAACCGAAAGTCCACTGGGGGCGGGTGTGGTGGCCTCTCACTGGCTGCCCCGTGGCTAGCCCGTCCCCTCCCTGTGGCTCTGCCCTCGACAGCGGCCTTGAGGAGCTCCCTCTGCCCACCTCCTGTCTCTGTGGGGCTTCCCCTTACTGACTTTCACACGGCATTGGCCACCGTGGCGACGCCAGGCTTCTCAGGGACCCCTTGCCGAAGGGCACCCACAGGCACCTGGTGGCCAGCTGCTGGCCCATGGGAGCCACACGCCCCAGCAGACCTGTTCACCCTGCCTGCGGCGGCTCCGTGTATGACCGCCCTGGGGCAGAGCTGCGGCGAGAGGGGCTGGTGCCGTGGGACCCCCACGTCCAGGAGGGGAGGGAGGCACTGTACGAACCTGCGTCTCAGCAGATGAGAAAGGAAATCTGTGTCGTGCGTGTGCCTGTGTGTACATGTGTGTGTCACGCGCACACACGTGTCCAGCACACACACGTGTACACGGCACACGCGCTATGCACATGTACGCACATGCATGTGCGTGCACACGCGTACACATGCACGCGCGCACATACCACGCCACGCGTGTCACATGCGCGTCACGTGTGTTGTATGTGCGTGCCACGCGTGTGCACACGTGTGCACATGTGTCATGCATGTACACCCGTGTGTGCACATGTTCCAGCTCCGTCCGCTGAGGCCCAGGTGCAGGGACACCCTAGGAGCTGTGAGCACGCCTGTACCCAGAACTTGGTGTCACCCCCATTTTGCACGGAGAGACACGGGGCTCCCTGGGGGAGTGGCTCCAGGACAGGAGCAGGGCGGGGATGCTGTGGCAGGGGATGCTGTGGAAGCGTTCCGGGGACAACAGGGACACAGTCTCGCCCCAACGTGCCCGAACAGCTTACCCCCGCAAAACAGGAAAGTCTGAGCCCCGAAATCAGTAACAATTGGCCACAAATGGCAGCACCACAGGAGTAAGCGTGGTGATAGCCTTGAACCAAAGAGGAATCAGAGGCCGCACTGTGCGAACTGGTAAGCGCAGAAGTGGACATTCTTCCTTGCGGCTGAATGCTTAAAAACGGGTACGAGGGGATCTGGGCTGAGACACCCGGGCGAGGACAGACCTTCCACGTCTCCCCACAAATGACTCACTAGCCACAAAGGCAGAAGCAGAGGAACCTGGGTGAGCCACGTGATCCACACCAGCACCCCCAGGGATGCGGCGCACGAACGTCTCGTGCCTGCGAGCACACTGTCACCTTCGGAGGTCGGGCCCCAGGCGCACAGGCAGAGCCTTCTCACGGGAAAGCTCTCAGACCCGTCCCCCCGTCCGAGGCGGGTGCCAGCAAACCACCATCCACGCCTCCAGGCGCCAGGGCTGAGAGCCACGTGAGAAGGGTCGGGACAGGTGCGCACACCGCGAGGTGTGGATGGGTCCTGGCGGCAAACCTGCTGCGTGAAGGGCAGCGAGGGCTGCGGGACAAGGGGGGGCACTCAAGCTGGTGGACCCGACAGGGGCGCTGAGGGACGTCCTGGTTCTCAGAAAGCACATGAGGGGGGTGCAGGGGGAAGGGGCTCCACCTGCTCCCAGGGGGTGTGGGTAAAACCCACATGTCTACGGAGGCCGAGAGCAAACGCAGTGAGTCTGGGCAAAAGCCCAAGATCTCCTTCTCGTCTTGAAGCTTTTTCTGCAAGTTCGCAGTTACCTCGAAAGGCCAAGTCCCGCGGAGCGTGGGGGGCCACCCACCTTGTCCAGCCGCAGGCAGCAGAACGGGGCCTTCACGGGCAGAAGGTGGCACAAGGTGGGGGAGCTGCCGATGTAGGGCGAGTTGGGGGGGTAGCCCTTCACGTACCTGGAGTGGGAGACAGGAGTCGCCCTGTCGGGGTGCGCCTGGGGGCTCCGGCTCCACCCCCGCAGCCCCACCCCAGCCCAGGCCTGCACCCTCCAGGGCAGCAGGGCTGTGCCCCCCAGCGGCCACACGGAGGCGCCAGACCCCGCGGACCCACCCCAATGTGGGACTGCGTGTGGGGAGAGGAGGGCTGGGCTGGGACCACCGGGTCCGAGGTGAGAAGCCACACAGCACGCACATGAACATACAACTCAGGGACACACACGAGCTCACACAGAGCCTGCGATCACGGCCATAACCCGAGGCTCGTGCCCTCCCTGAAGCTGCCAGTACCCCAGCCCGTGGGCCGACGCTGGCCCTCGGCCCCTGTCTGCCGGCTGCCCGGGGCTGGCTGGTCTCCCCAGCAGCACCCAGTGCACCCCACACGGAGGCGGCCACAGCTGGGCCTTGAGCAGTGTGGGGGAGGGGACGGCCTTCTGCTCTGTCTCCAGCTGGCTTCACCGACACGGCCTTGGCAGCCAGCCACGCCACCTGCCTCTGGGGCTGGATGGCGCCTCCCCAAGGGCTCCCCTACCCGTGACTTCGATAGACGATGTTCAGAGGACAGCCTCCCCCTCCGAGCAAGCCTGGCCCGCAGGTGTGGCAGCCCGCGGCACGAGGTGGAGAGGAGATGGGACAGGAGGCACAGCCCGGCTTTCATTCCGTTTGCCAAACGAGGTCTCCCGTGAAGCCCTGACTCAGCCCTCGGGCGACTTCACCCTCCCTCCCTGCTGGCCGCAGCCCCCAGGCCCGTGTCCGCCCCCCACCCCCGACCCCGTCGGAAGCTTCTGTCTGGGTGCACCGGCACTCACTCCACCACCGACAGCCCCTCGTCGTCTGACGGCGTCATCTCGTCCTCCGACGGGTCACTCAGCAGGTCGCAGGGCAGCAGAGCTGAGCTGTCTGTCGGGCGCTCCAGGACCGGCGCGATGCTGGGCCGCCGGCTGCCCGAGCCGTTCTCTGTCGGCAGCGAGAGCTTGCCGCCCCCGCCACCCCCGCCGCTCTGAGCGGGCCGGCACTCTGTGTTCTGGAGGTCCATGGCCACTGTCCCTGGAGCAGAGCGGCTGACCTTGGCTGGCCGTCCCTCCCTCGGCTCTGCTGGGGGCGGCTGGTTCGCGGATCGGAGGTGGGACCGCTGGTGCAGGGCGGCCTCTCCCCCGCCCGGTCCCAGGGCGGACACTGGGACGCCAGCGCCCCCGAGGGCCCCGCGGGGCGGGGGGCACCGATGGGAACACGAGGCGCGGGGCGGGGACTCACCCATGGAGGCCACGATACTGTGCATGGGCAGGCGGGAGGAGCCGTCGTACAGCCCCTGCGCCGGGAAGCCCTTCTTCTTCTGCTTCTCCTCCTGCTTGAAGATGAAGGCGGAGTTCTCCTCCTTGGTGATGTTGATGTAGAAGCAGGTGTCGGACGCCGCCAGCGTGTGCCGCGGCCCGGGGTTCAGCAGGATGCTCTTGTCCTCGCGCTTGAGCCCGATGAGGCACACGCCATACCTGCGCGGGGCGCGTCTCGCAGGGGTCCGGCGGCGGCTGCTGGCACCCCCGCGGCCCCGCCCCCGCCCCTCCCCTCGGCGCCCCGCCCCCGCCCCTCCCCTCGGCGCCCCGCCCCCGGCCACCCCCGCCCCGCCCCCCGCCCTGGCCCGCGGGCCCCCGTCCCGGTCCGCGGCCCCGCCTCCGGCCCCCTTTCTTGGCCCCCGCCCCTCGGCGCTCCGCCCCCTCCCGCGGCCCCGCCCCCTCCCGCGGCCCCGCCCCTCCCGCGGGCGCGTACTTCTTGTGCGCGTGGAAGGCGGCGTAGGTGAAGCTCTTGCCCTCGTACTCGCGGAAGAACTTGCTGTCCCCCATGCGCACGTGGTACACCTCGTTGCCCGAGCAGCGTCCGTACATGCGCTGCCACTGCTCCGGGGACTCCTGGCCCTCCCTGCGGGGCGGCCGCCGGTCAGAGGCCCCCGGGGGCGGCCCACACCGCTCCCCACACCCAACCGCCGCCCAGCTCCGAGGGCGGAGCCCAGCAGGCCGCGCCCCCGCCCCGCCCGCCCCGGCCGCGCACTCACTGGCCGCGGGACGTGTGCACCAGCAGCGTGATGAGCGTGGACGTGGCGGGGCAGATGCAGTTGAGGGCCAGCATGGCGTACTTGCACTCCTCCTCACACACCACGTGGTCTGCGGCGGGACGGGGCAGGTGGCCGCCGGGCCTCGCCGTCCCACAGCGGGCGCCCCGGCCCGCGCCCTCCCCCGGCGCCGCTTGCTCTCCCAGCGTCCGAGCCTGACTCCCGGCTTGAGGACCGCTCCAGGGCGGGGGGTCTGCTCGCCCCCTCCCACCGGGAGCCCAGGTGGAGCGCGACCACAGAGATGCCTCTCGGAGGTCCCACGGACACTTGGGCCCGCGTGCCCGACGGTCACCTCCCACGGGGACGCCTGCGTGGGCTTCACCGCGCCCCACAGCCCCCGGATAGGCTCTGTGAGCTCGCGGGTGCTCCAGCCCTTCCCACGCCCCACGTGGGCGCACACCCGGCCCCACGCACCTGCGAACTTGACGTGGAACTTGTTCTCCGGCTTGAGAATCTGGACGTAGAGGGGGCAGTTGGGCGCAAAGTCCTTCACGGCCCAGGCTCGCAGGATGGTCTGGTGGTCCTGGGGGAGGGGAGGCGGGGTCAGTGCTGAGGGGCGCAGCAGCCCAGGGGAGGGTCTCTGCCCTCAGGTGTCCCTCTGCTCGGCTGGGGGCTGGGGGGCCAGCGGCACTCACGGCAGCTGTGCGATCCACTTCGTTGCGGCTGCTGAGGATAAAGCAGGCCTCCCCATTGTCCATCCTGCAAAGCACCAGGTCTGAGCGCTGCCGGGACCGTCCACGCTCCTGTCTCAGACGTCAGGGGCTCAGAGGCCGGAAGGGCTGGGCCCCGTCGGACCCCACCTTGCTCTGGGCTGATGGGCTGGTGTCAGGACTCAGACCAGCTCGCGGGGGGCCCATCCTCTATGACCCTATTAAGCCAGGGCCGGGCTGGGGCGCAGAATGGGGGAGAGCATGTGGTGATGAAGAGGCCGGACCCTTGTCCACTTGCTGGTCTGTCCCTCCCAAGGGACTTGGATGGCCTGCTCTGCTCTCCTCTCCCACCCCTGAGAGCCCCTGGCTGCAGCAGGGACACTGGGTCAGTGCGCACACCCCAGGGCAGGGAGGCCGCTCCCTCCCCAACACGCTGCCCTGCACCCCACCCACCCTGGCTCATCACTTGCCCCTGCCAGGCCTCTGCCTCTCCCTGCCCCTTGGCCTGGAGCTGGGTGCTGGGTCACAGGAGAGGCTGGGTCCCCTGGCCACGGCCATCTCCATGCTGGAGTCCTTTCTAAAACGTTACAGGTGGGAAGGGGGACCCAGAGCTCAGGAGGTGGGCAGGGGGGTGCCCTGGCTATCGGGTCTACTGCTTCCCCTTGGCCCGTACACCCCACACTCCATCACAGGATGAGTAGAGGTCCCTGGAACGAAGATACAGCGTCTTATGAAGATAAGACAGTCCCTGGGCTGTCCTGCAACGGGCAGTGGCACATTCTAGAAGTTCCATCTGACAGCTTCGTCTTCTTACCTTAAGTCACTCTGGAGCTTGCCTTTTTTTTTTTTTTTTTTTTTAAAGATTGTATTTGTCAGAGAGTGCACAAGAACACAAGCAGGGGGAGCGGCAGGCAGAGGGAGAAGCAGGCTCCTCGCTGAGCAGGGAGCCCGCTATGGGGCTCGATCCCAGGACCCTGGGATCACCACCGGAGCCGAAGGCAGACGCTCAATGGGCTGAGCCGCCCAAGCATCCCACAGCTTGTCTTTAAAAGAAACCTCACCCACGGCCCCGTCTTCCCACCCTGACCCCACCTGGAGCCGGAACCTGACTGCATCTCCCATCCCGGAGCAGGGGGGAGTGGGAGGCCTGGCAGGATGACCCTTGGGCACAGGAGGACAGGTGGGCTGGGCAAGCCCTGGTGCTCCAAGGTGGGGTCCATGTGGGGCCTGGCTGGCCTGGGCGGGCAGTGGGCCCGGAGCCTGAGTGGGAGCCGCTGGCTGCCCCGATGACCCTCCCCACTCGGCCCCTCCCTCATCCCGGCCGGCACTCACTTGGCTCGCATGAGGTCCTGGTCTTTGAGCGCGGAGCCCTGGAGGTAGATGACCCGCTGGGACCACAGGGGGATTTGCAGGACCCTGCGGACCTGGATGTCCATCTCGGTGGGGCACAGGATAACCACGTAATAGTCCTGCGGGAGGCGGGGTTAGTCCCACCGCGGCTCAGGTGCAGCGGGCCCATCCGCGGGGCCGGTGCGGACAGCGGGGATCGGAGGCCGCAGCCCTCACCTGCAGCCGAGGGTGCGCGTAGAACTCGTTGAGGAAGTCCATGAGCAGGTCGACCTTGAGGGAGCTGACACACAGCACCACATGCTTCTCCGTCTGCGCCCGGTGGCGGCTGTAGTTCCCGCCCGACTTCTGACGCTCCATCCACAGGTAGACCAGCTCCTCAAACTGCGGGGGGAGAGCGCCGCGTCCCAGGGGGCCCGGCTCGGGGTGGGGGGGCCCTGCAGGGAAGGGGCGCTCCCCCATGGGAGCTGCACACGCAGACCCCCTTCCCTGACAGCACAGGCCGCCTGGGGGGCAGCGGGGCTGGGGGGAACGGACCCCCTGCTTTCTGGCCCCCGGAGCCCCAGCGACAGTGATGCGATGCCCAAGTGCATGCTCCCGACATGGGGGCAATGAGAACCTGGGGTCGCCATGGGCCCCTAAGATCCCTTTGGAGAAGCCTGGGGGTGGCAGGAAACTCTCAGGCACAGGGACTGAAATCCAGACCCTGGCGAGGAAGAGACTGTTCCCTCCCATGGGGACTCGCCCACCCCGCCCATGCCTCAGGGACCCCAGCCTCGCACCCACCCCATGTGAGTTCTTCTGAATTAGGAAGGAGAGGGAGGGGTACAAGTGGCTCAGGGAGGGGAGCAGGGATCCAAGGACCCGCAGGGGTGCGGGCGGCCTCCTTCTCCGGCAGTTTCCCCACTATCTCCGGAGCCTGAGATTCAACACCCCTGCCTTCGGCGGCTGCCCTCCGGTGTGCTCACCCCTGCTGGGCGGCCCGCTAGTAGCTAGTATCCCACCAAGATGGGATCATTTCACTGAGTTTATGGTGCACCTGCTAGGTTCTGGGGACAAGACCCCATGGCCCTGAAGCATAGGACTGGCTCCGAGGCTGGAGGGGGACACCTGTGTAGGGTGGGGGCTGCGTGCATGGACTCCAGGCCTCAGCCTCCCCCTCTGTAAGATGGCATGATGGTGTCTGCCTCCTGGGGCCGAGAAGCAGCTAAGTGACCTGTGTTAGGTTCGACTGTGTCCCCTAAGATTCATGCCCACTCGGAACCTCCCTGTGGGATCTTCCATGGAAACACGGTCTTTGCAGGTGAGATTAGTTAAGGTGAGGTCAGACAGGATTGGAGTGGGCCTCCTCCAATGTCTGGGGCCCCTAAAAGGAGGGCAGTGGGCACGGAGACACATAAGGAAGAGGCGCGTGAGGCCAGGAGCAGGGATGGGAGGGATGGAGCCACGAGCTGGGGAAGCCCAGGGATCCCTGTGGCCCCAGAAGCAGGAAGGGTGTGAAAGGGAGCCTCCCTCAGGGTGTCCAGCAGGAGCTCACCCTGCTGTCACCCTGGACTCAGATGCGAGGGGGTGGGGGCGCAGGGGGTGGGGG